TGCTCCCCGGATTTTCTACACGAAGCTTTAACACAGTCAAACCTCATAAACTTGAGGCACTTTTGCTCTAACAAACGCTGTATCGTTTGAACGGAACGTCGTATTAATTCGTGGTTAACAGATTGTGCAAGCTTACATTTTAAGATTTATGATTATGTATGTTTCGTAAACATTTTCGGGAAAACCAGGGATCATTTTTTCTTCAAAGTTCTGCACTCCCCAAGATTTGTATGTGGAGAAGCGTGGAAAACAGCCCAAATGGACAGCTATTTAATGATTCGTCGTCTTTATCTTGACATAGTGCGAGAACCCAAGGTCGTGACACTTTGGGGTGAACGGTTTTGTAAAGTGGAAGAGTCCGTCTTTCTTCCATGTAAAATTCATTGTGATTGGTCCTAAATCCAAGGATCATTTTCCTCTCAAAGTTTTCTTACAAAAATGACCCTTGAAAAGCCCTGTTTAGCTGAGCCGAGGTCTGGACACCATCTTCTCATGGGGGCGCTGTTCAAAACCGAGATCCTAGTCAATGTCAGACGCTAATGTGGCGGTATTCACTTTCCACGGGACGTTAAACTGAACAGGTAATTGCGAACAAAAAAAGATTTCGGGAAAAAATAAACATAAAACGTGTACAAAGGGCATTTGTTTTTTAAGACCCTCTAGTCATGGGAACTTATATGTCTGTGCTTTTTTCAGGTTGCAAAATTTTCAGTGGTGGGGGGGGGGGGCGGCGTTGGGGAGGAGACGATTGGTCACGCTTTAAAATGTTACATATCTGCATGATTTTACCCCTCCCCTAAAAAAAAAAGTTTAGCGACTTTGCATTACTAAATGTTCACGTTGAGTGCATTGGGATTTTTTTACATACCTGTCCTGCGAGGCGCCTTCCCCATCGTGACCTTTGAGCAAGTTCTTCCTGTTTCACTTTTGAACCGGATTGTCATATCTCACCTTCTGTAGTATCTTTGGCGGCGTTTACCACCACTGGAGCCTTCAAAAAGGTGAAAATGCACTTTTTTTTTTGGCGGAAAGGAGCCTACATACCCTTGATATGACATCGTGTCTAAACGCTGTCCCGCGCCTGCATTTCTTCAGGACCAAGGGTAAAAAAAACCCAATATATCACATGAGCGTTGCTTACACTCTTGAACGAAGGGTTCCAAAGAGAAATTCGATTTTCTTTGTTGTATTCTGTAATTTTTGAAAGAAAAATGATGTCCAACCCACACCCGTTTCACTTTTTATTTAATTGGTGACCGGTAAATAAACCCTCCCTTCCCTTTTTGCACGCATGATGCAACAGAAATCGGGCGCCCCCACACTAAAACATTCAACCCCCGTCCCATATTGGTGCTAACCGGTAAAAAAAAAAAATCCGCCGAGCTCATGAATAAAAGTTATACCCTCAAAATATTCTATACTGAGAGCCGTACAATTTCGGGAATTGAAGAGATTTGGCAATGAACCTATGGCCCGGACTTGAGCTTCCAATTCTGAGCATTGCTGGTGTAATTGGGTTGAAATTCGCGCCATTTTGCCATGTTGTGGTAAGGTCGTTTGTTCAGATGGCTACTTTTTCCGCTTTGGGAAAATTAGGCGTCGTCTTCTTTGGGTGAGAATTTCTCGAAAGGCCAATGTCAACGCACTTAAAAATGAAAAGAAAATTAAAGATGACATGTTGATCATCACTTTTCTGTGCAGCTTAAATACATTTGAGAGTTCTGAGTATTTAAAAAAAAAAAAAATTGAAGCATGAACATTTAAGCTCTGGCGTCTATGGGAAATTTTAATACGGGGGAACATCACCATGGTAAGAACGCCCGTTGCTCCGCTTGTTACCATAAGTCCGCGATCCGGATAATCGCTATGTCTGACTTGATTTAGATTATGGGCCACAAAGAAAGATGAAAGATGATGTCTCAAAACCGCCAAACTCACCGGTTTGACTGGAATATTTCTGCTGCACAATTTTAACGCGTTTTTAGATGGGGTTACGATCGAGAATAAGCTTTATGTGGCCTCGCTCGACTCCTCTATATTTGCACTAAGTTTAGTCGGGCACCATTTGCAGTTATCAGCCGACATTTGAAGAAAAACACGGCAAAAAAAAAAAAAAAAAGCCGCGTCGCCGCACCACTTTTTGGGCAAGCTCCATACCAGAAACCGGAGACATTTTTGTTTTGGCCTCATAATCAAAACTTTTCTTTGTTAATTTTCGGGCTCCAGTCAAACTTGCAGAGAAATCAATGATTGTTATTCTGCTGGTGTGTAAAAGTAAAACGTGCTGAATTTCAGTTCAATCTGTTATTTTTTTCTCCATCAACGCTGGATTATTTTACTTACAAGAACACTGCCACTAGTTGATGAAGTCGGATAATTTAACTGATATTCATTTGAAACAGTACAATAGAAATATGAACACAACAACTCAGTAAAAACAAATCCGAAGTATACATTGAATACAAATTCATTAATACAACAGAAACGGGAATTTTAATAACCACGGTCAATGTTTGGAAAAGAGGTAAAGATGCGCTCCCGTGCAAACGTGGATGCTGCCCTATTCCATATAAACCCTCTTGTTGTCGCTCATAAAGGGCAGTTATTGATTTGTGTTGGCCCTGCTGGTCGTTGCATGAGCGACCATAGAGCAAGGAATTGTATTCTTCAAGCAATAATCCTGGTCCACAATAGCGCATTACGTAACGGTCGAATCCGCAGGACATTAGCGTAAAAGAATTGTATCCATGGACGCTAGTAATATAGACCTTTCTGTGCTTGGTTGGCAAACTGTATTTTTGCCAACCACGGCCTGCACAATATGGAAGGTCCAACGCTGCAAAAAAGAAGAAGAGTTATAACAGATCACCAAACTATTATTTGATACTTCAAAATACAACATTTTCAACAAAGCTACAAAATAATTCCTACACATGCATTTTTACCATGTATTAATGGCGTTATGAGGACTTTTTTGAAAAAAAAAATATGTTGCCAACCACGGCTTCAATTTATGCGCTTAAGGCAGCCCATATAAAATAGCGCCAAGGTTTACAAACAAAAGAAAGGCCTATACACTATACTGTACATGCACGCAGTCTGCGCTGTATCGCAATGCAATGCACTGTGCAACAGCTGCCTGTCGCTGAGCTATTCGCACTTTATCGATCTTGCACATTAGCAAACCTCCGTTTTATATTATCCTGATACATTTTATATCAGGGTAATTTTTTTTTTCGCCCCAAATAATACGATCTCCGATGTTTCCCAGTCTCCGTGTTTTTTCCTGATCAGTGAACGATGTGTTGTTTTAGGATTTCTGGATTCGTGATAATATTGATGAAGACAGTTTTCTATCAGGGCACGTTGAAAGTGTTACTTAGTCGTGAGGTGACACACATTGAGAAAAGAACTTGTGTATATAATATCATGATCCAATAGCAGTAAATCAAGAGAAAAAAGGTACAAACAAGAAAAGAAAAAGAAAAGAAGGAAGACAGTCTACGTATATCTACACAGGGTTGCAGTCTGCAAAAAGGGATACTGTTTTGAGAATTTCTGGAAATTTTGACACAATAAGGACTCGCAGAGGCCGGCGCGGAATGTTTTGCAAACTATATGGGTGGAAATATAACGTTTAACAGGTTCTCCACTTTGCAGGGAAAAACAGGTTTTGAAGCGATAAAATATATAGATGTTGCCATTTGACACTGTTAAAGGCACTGGAGCTGTCCATACCTCGAAAGTTCATCTTGTTTAAACAACAAAGTGTCAATTATATTGCAGCGCGTTGAGTGTCAACTGCTGTCAAAATTAATGTTTTACTTTCGGTGTAGTTTGAAATTTGAACCATATCAAACACCGACTGTATAGGCACATGCCTATGCAGAGGTAATTGTGATGTGTGAGGGAAAGAATCCATACACGGCTATAGAAATCATATTTCAAAGGAGTCCAGATTTCATATGACACCGGTTCGGATTGAAGAGAGTAGGCTGAGTAACGTTGGATTCTACCTACGTTATGTTTCAAGAACATGAAATCCGAAAATATCCATGGTCCATAATTAGTTAAAGGAATCGTCATTTGGTGTGGAGTTTAAAGGCTTAATCAATCCGAATTTGAAGATAAAACAATCTGTACGAGTTGGTCGCGTACGAGTTGGTTCGCGTACGAGTTGACCTGTATTCGTCTGACCCATCCCCTGCAAACATTCCTGGTTCCACCCCTGAAAACATTCCTTTAACCAGTTGAAGGATGCATTAGGTCATCAAACTTTTATTGACACGCAATAAACTTTGATGAGGAGTGAAGCACGGTGTTTTCCTGTCTCATTTTATCTAGGCAATGGATATCGAAATAAATACTCGTGTGCATGCTTTGTGTCCTTTCCTAACTGAAATTTATCAAGTGAATTATACGGTAGTGGCGAACTATATGATTTATGAACTGACCTCTTTAAATTGTAATGTTATTGAAACACCTGTCAATTACCGCGATGGAAAATAGTAACACATAATTGAGAAATCAATTATGCACATGTATGATATCACTGGGTGACTAACGCACTCGAAACATCGAGCATCACCGGTTTATTTCACAGTGCAATTTAACAAGCTTCCCTTGTCATGGCCCGCGAGTCAGTTTACACGGTGCGGCCAAACTTCCACGATCGATAGCCGCTGCGTACTCGAATTGTTTCAGAGGCCACTGCATTTCCACAACACGTTCTGAACGCTACTTGGCAACGATTCATCACTGGCAATTGACCCCTCCCCCCTATCTTGCAAGGACACTTGCTGTTTTCGCTTTTTGTACAGAACAAAAGCGCGCGAACAGTCAACCAACTGTAGGGAGTAAACAGAGTACATGTAAACAGTCGTTACCAACGACTACGACTCCGGCGCGAGAAAGCGCTCGATTGGGCTCATTCGCATCGGACTCAATGGGATTTGCATTCATTGGCCCCTCGCACCGCCTAATTGGGCGCGAATGGGCGAGAATGGAGGCGCCTATGTCATTGGTTATCTTTATAGAAATGCGGTCATTCATAGCAACGGCATTTCTAGAGACGCACGGAAGACGTAAGTCAACAACACAAGTGAGTGTGAATTTTATTTGCTCGTTCGATTTTTAAGATATATTTACTTTGAGAAGGTCAATAAGACACTTCAGTTGCTCTTGGAATTCTTCTTTTACTTCATTAACGATATTTACATTTCGGAGTAATACTTCAATTTGCAATAACACTTTGGAAGATATTGGGACAAGTCCGAACCTGAAGACTGACTGAAAATGGCAGTTAATTAATGAACTCGTTCCAAAAAACTGCGTTGGTATGAATACAGGTCAACTCGTACGCGAACCAACTCGTACGCGACCAACTCGTACGCGGGACAATTCGTACGCGAACCGACTCGTACGCGGACCGACTCGTACGCGGACCGACTCGTACGCGGACCAACTCGTACGCGGACCAACTCGTACGCGTGAGTTTAGACGATTGGTTTAGCTCACATGGACAGATGAAATTAGGTTCGGTACGGTAGGTCGGCATAATTTTACCTTTTCGGAAAGGTTGAGATTTTCAAATTAAATGTAGTTGATTTTTGAATCCGCCAGTGCTACTTACATTCGCGATTTTTTAGAGAAGATTTCTGCGTTGTTTTTTTTTTACAAGTTCGCTTGATTGATTGGGAAGTTGTCTTCGCGATAACCAGTATGATTGGTTCCCGCCGCACCGCGCACTGTTTTAAAGAATGCATGATTGAATCGCTGTAACCTGTGTATGCCGCGGTACAATTGCTGGCTGGTTAGACAAGTAAAATGACAAGAAAACACCGATATTTGCGAGGTCTATTGTATAAAAAGGAGCTACTATAAAAAAGGTATATAGCATCACGCATGCTTATACAGTTGTACGAACAGTGTCCGCCAGTTTTTTGCTTGGGTCAGATAGTTTTTTAGTCCTAATTATTATGTCTCCAAATTATATTTTGTAAAATAAAACAATGGGGAGGTGAATTTTATTTATTTTTAAAAATTTGAATTTTATTTATTATCACTGCAAATGCGTGGTGGCCCTGTGTTATGCTGCAAACAGATTTAAAATGGCTCAAAGGATAGAATTAAAAAGGAGAGGAAACGAAAATGGAGAGGGCAAGGAAGGCTGGGGAAGAACAATAATAAAAAACGGAGAGAACGATTACATTGGGGCGGAATGTGCAGGGTTCGACCTCAACTTCTTTTGTTCACTAGCCAGCCGGGCTACTGGCCCACGGGCATTTCTACTAGCCCGCATTTTTTTCTTATCAGATACAAAATGGCGTATTTTCAAGTGCAATTCTGAGGGACTTTTGTTGGTGTTTTTGATTAACAGATCAGATAATTTAATCCTTTAAAACAGTTGATAATTAGACACAAATTAAAGGGGTTTCCTTTTTGAATTTTATGATTTTTTTTTCTTTCTGTTCGTTGATCTTTGCCGTATCCCAATAATTTTTCACTCGCACGCCGGCCTGGTTAAGGAATAGTTTGTCTAGCCCCGGCCGCCGCTGTTTTGACCAGCATTTGGTTAGCGGGCTAGACCGCTAATTTCGAACCCCGATGTGTTATGTGTTATACCTCCATGGTTATACCAAGCATTTCAGTTGTAAATAGAAATTGCTAGGCCTACGGATGTCCCCGCGTGTCTGCTTTTTAATTGATCTAATTGATCAATGGTTGTGAACCACAGTGAAAGTTGAGTGACAGGCAGTTGACAAGTCTGATCGATCTCTTTTGATCTTCTAAACCCGCCGGTTCTTTCAAGTTTAGGACACCGAACCGCGAGAACAGATCCATGGTAGTCCAGAGCGTTGCAATTGGGTCAGTTTGACAATGGTGGCAATTAATTGACTGACAGGTACATTGATTAAAAAAACACAAAAAATGCAACTGGTACATCGTTGCATTAATATATGGAATTAAATTTGACGTGACAAGGCTACAGGTATGCACAAAACAATACAACACTCGTCTAACTACAAAAATCAGTTACTTTATTATCATCATTCACGGGTTCACTCCCAATCACACACAACGGTCACACATTGAACTACGGACTACCCGTCACACTATTCCCAAATTCTTCCCAACCATGCCAACCCAATCCTCGAAACCACTCCTAAAACGGCCCGCGTACGAGTTGGTTCGCGTACGAGTTGGCTCGCGTACGAGTTGGCTCGCGTACGAGTTGGCACGCGTACGAGTTGGTTCGCGTACGAGTTGTCTAGCATACGAGTTGACCAATCCGCGTACGAGTTGACTCGCGTACGAGTTGGTTCGCGTACGAGTTGACCTGTTTCCGTTGGTATAGCTAAAGGTCGGCAATTGATAGCGTAAACTTTGCATTATTTTTTTTTATGGAGAGTATATTGTGAACAAATCACATAAGGATGTGTGTGAATGATTTTCGTTTTGTTGAAAGAACGCTCACCTTTTTTGTGATCCGTGGACAGAACTTTAAAACGGTGGTTATGTTTAAAAACCCGTACCTTAAAAAGTACTTAAGTGATTCGATTGATTCTTGTTTTAAAGGAAAGCCTATGAATTTGGCTTTTATAACCCAGATTTTGAAAGTGCTACATGCAGAACTTCACTAAAACAATGGTCCCGACATTTGGGTTTCGTTTTTTTTACTCACCCTGTATATCTTGCATCGCCCTTTTTCTTACTTAGAGGAGAAGACACCATTCACTCGCTAAAACATGAAAAGGTGTCCGACGGAACGTAGGATTTGTTATTGTGGCCCAGTATTGAAGAACAAAAGAACATGAAACTTAATGACTTAAATGGTTGGTCAGATGAATGAATGATGTAAAGAAAAACCACAAGTTTCCGAGCTGAGTTGAATGCAGGGGTTGCGAGTAAGATGGTGAAAGAAAAAAACGCAAAAGTTTGGCAAAATGTTCGGGCAGGGTAATACCGCTTGGAGAAAGGCTGGGGTCATAACTGGGAATTTTGTACTGACACTGCTAGTCACACCTAATGTTATTGTTGAACTGAATGGGTCCAGATTACCCAGCGATTGTTTACACATAGCAACCAGTACAAACTTTGCAGACATTCAAGAGACGCTTGCATATATGTTTACACCGGAACACAGTGCAGGACAAAAGCCAGTGAATGCCTGAGTTTTCAAGTATGCGACCGGGATGCGCGATAGATTAATCCTCTATTGACACTGTCATCCTTCATATTCAAAAGAAATCGATATCTGTTCAAAACGATCGCGAAGTCCCCTAGGGTATTACGACTTAGAGTCGCATGCGTATGTTCATGCTTTTCGCAAATAACATGTACACACAATGTACATTGTACATCAAATCAACGTTATTGGGTGTGGTCTTATACTAACGTGCATTTTTACTATTTTTTTGTCCATCTCGTTACAGTTTTTTTTTGTACGGCTACTTCTACACGTACTACTTTTCAATTTTAAAGTTTTCAACTTGCACCTGCGATAAAAAAAAAGAATAAAAAAATACTGCTCCCACGCATTCAACATGCCCTCCTTTTTATTTTGCCTCCAATAACAAATGCGCATGCTTTTATGCGGTCTGATTTGCCCAAGGTATTTGTTTTTCTTCTAATGGACGATATTTTGCACTTTCCCAACATATTCTACGTAAAACCAGCATCCAAGCACCCAGCAAGGAAACATGAATACCCTCGTCACCCTCGTAATTCTCGTCAGCTGCTTCGGTAAGTCGATTGACAGAAAGAGAAATTTCTGATTAAGGTCGCAACTAACTTGAGATAAAACCAAACAGAACTAGCTTTCACTCACTTCTGTAATCCCTGGACTTACTAAGGATTTGGTTCAAAATTCCCAACCGGTGAAGCATGAATTTAGGTGTTTTTTTTTATGAAATACGGACTCATTGGTGGTATTGTGCATGCTCATGCATAGATAATTTGGAGAGGGACCGGTCACGTGAGAGGGTTTCACCAATAAAAGGGAAAAAAGAGTCCGATTTTCATACGAGCCCGATTTTCATATGACACCGGCATTACAAACGAAAGTCTCTCTTTTTTTTAATCATACAATATTTTTCAGCTCTTGATATTCTGAGCAAGCGCGATATCGGGCAGGGTGCACATTTTCAACACATTTAAGACGAATACATTTTGAAAAAAACCGTTACTGAATGTTGTGAAACATTATTTCCATATGGTGTTTCCTCAAACCTTTCATTCATTCCTAGTCTTAATTCCTGTGTCAAGAGTTCTTTTAAACTAACAAAAAAAAAACTTTTAAATAACAAAAACAAAAAAAAACACCACCGCTTGTGAAAGGGCGTTGGGTAAAGGCCTGTTTATACTTCATACGAATCTGACGTCATGAAATATTGTCTGCGAAATTCGTTCGAGTTGAAATACAATGTATGTTCGCAGCGGAAAAAAATATGCCACTACTTCACCAATTCGCTTTCGCTTCTCACGCCGAGTATGAATCGGGCTGAGTCTGAGCTTGTCAGAGTCAGACTCGTATCATTCCATCAATCCCTTAAATCTCACTGGTTATGTTGGGTTTTTTTTTCACTGCAGCTGGCCTGAACGCCCTCACATGCCACTCCTGCGGCTACGTCAGCGGTGTGTCTAGCGGAAGCGACTGCGCTGATACCTTCACGGGCAACTATTCCACCTCCTGCAGTAGCTCAGATGATACATGCCAGGTGAGTTATGACATGACTGCTTCTTGTTGTAAAGTTTCAGCATGAGCAATGGTTTCATATGTATAGATAGACCATTTGCAAATACATCTACATACATGTATAACAAATATTTCAATTTTGAGATGTGGATTTTTGTTTTACTAAAACGTGCATGTCACTGCTGCAACTGCTAGAATTATAAGCGTGAGTTCAAGCTTTTAACTTTAAAATGCACTTTAAATAACTGTTTCATCATGCACGGTCATACGGCTTACACACAAGTGAACAATGGGTTTGAAACGGGAGTCGACTCTAACTGCATTTGAGCATTGGACAGTTAAAACACTTAACATTTGTATTTCACATGTATTTTCAATACAATCTTTAGGTACTTGGAACTTGTTCCCTAGTTCTAATCCATGGCTTGTATGTACAGTCGAACACCTTTATAAAAAGGTCCTTGCGACTTTACGAATTACCTTGTTATAACAGCTACCTTAGTAAAACAAAGGAAAACAATTAAAACGAAGACTTGAGACCTAGAATTGTGCTTGTTATAAGCAGGACCTTGTAGTTACAGTGCTCCTCCTATCAGGGTTCGCCATGCAGTTTCCATATCTAATGACTTTGTTTTCCTCTTTTCCTTTAATCAATCAGAAAACTGTGGTCAAGATCGACGGCTCTGTCACGACCCTCAGCCGTGGATGCACGACCTCAGGGAGCTGCACCGAGTCCTGCGGGTCCATCTTTAGCATCGAGAGCTGCGTGTACTGCTGCACCACAGATGACTGCAACGGCGCAAGCGCCGTGACCTTAAGCCTGGCAACCGTGGCCGCCACCGTTCTGGGCACTGTAGTGGCCCTGTTTTAGACGCGTTTTTGTCCCTACTGAAATGCTTTGAATAATATCTTGTCGGGCGCGTTGAGCATCGTGGCTTATTCCACTTCTCAAAATCTGGGCTGATGACCTTATGACCTTGAAGGGTTTTATTGCGAGTCCCAGTACAGTAAATCAGAAATTCGAAAAGTCATCAACTGGAATAAGACAAAAATATGAAACGTGACCAGTATATTATGCATTCATTTGTGTGTGATTGTTTTTGTTTGTTTATCTAACGCTGGGGTATTGAACTTGTATTTGCTTGTCATATAAAAGCCGGTAAAAGAAATGCAAAACCCTCCAGTATTGCGCAACAAAGTGCACTTATAGTATATATATTTTTTTAAATCATTGGCATTGGGCAGTTTTTGTAGCATCAAACAAATTGTAAATAGTGGTTTTACGATTTTGATTTTTTTTTTACGAGCGCAGAATTTCTTTGCAGAGCCATTTGCTCCTTTGGAAACGAAACTACGGGTATAATGTACATTTTCATACACGTACAGATGTTATTATCTACGCCAATAGACACACAGTTAACTGTGCATGTTCATCTGTAGTATGACATGAACTGTTTATTCATCACCCGATTTCAGCATCCTAAGCACCCAAATATATGTATAATCCAAATTTTCTCACAATTACCCTTAATTTTCATATATTCAACATGAATCCAAGTAGCCTACAATGTACATGTAGACAGTTGAAGTGTGAGCTTGTTGATTCTCTGATCATCGCTATATTGTACAGTGGATTTCTATTTTGGGTAATAAAGAATATACAAAAAGTCCTATAGATCATACGCTTTTGTTCGGCTCAGTCTTTCCTGGTAGCTTTTAAAGCTTGTGATACTCACTTGTTTGAGTTTTTCTTTACCATAATAAGAAGCTACGAAAGGTGTTTACCACAGTCGACTCTCATTATAAAGAGTACTTTTATAAAGAGGTTCTGCTTATAAAGAGCAAGTTCTGAGGTTCCAAATCTTTCTTTTTTTCCGCTGTCCTTTTATAACAACATTCCTGTTATAAATGGATAATTTGGCTAGTCCCATCGACCTTCTTATAACGAGAGTCGACTGTATTTAAACAATTTTGTTATTATGCCCCCCCCCCAAGAAAATCTTCCTCAAAAAATACACAATGTACAATATGTCAACATATGCATAGGGGAAAAACACACCATAACGGGAAGTATCCGTACTAGCGGGGCACCCCAATATTTTTGTTGAGGGCTGAAGATTTTGGGTAAAAGGAACGTTTTTCTGACTCTCCAGAAGACTATCAATAAAAAAAATGACTTTACACTGTCCTCGAGACGTAGGAAGCCTGTTATCAAAACTCGTATTAAGCATTTTTCCCTCGTTGGAATGTTCACACATAGGTCGGGACTGGCGAAATATGCTCCTCTTAACCGGAATCTCGTCCTAAAAGAGCTCGCAATAACGAGAGACAACATGTACTAAAATTCTCCATTTTTTCCTCCTCTTCATTTTACACTAGCTTTATTTGTACAGACGGTGGAGTAGCTATGTCTCAAAATTTAACAAGAATAAACTGTCATTACATTTACAAATGTAAATACATGTACATGTGTATGATGTACATGTAAAATGTACATGTACATGTACATGGTTTTCATTGTGCGTGCACGAATGGTACTGTAATGACAGTGTACCGTATTTTGTTTTTTTTGTTTTTTTAACTGCCGTGGTTACAAAACGTCCCGTAAAGTTTGTAGATACCTTTGTGTGCCTTCAACATAATAGAGGGCCTACGTGAAGTTTCTCAGTACAGTGCACCTCTATTACATGTATATGCTTGGAATCGCACGTCATCCTCGCTTGTGGCAAACGCGTTCGTAATCAGTTCAATAAGTTAATCACATCTTCTTCAGTCAATACGAACGACTTACCCAACCGACAACAATTTCCCTTGGCTCTTTTCATCACATGCCACTGGTGTTAATGGCGCTTAACAAAAGGCAGCAATGCATTGACGTCACAGGGGCGGATCAAGGAATTTTCGAAAAGGGGGGGGGGTTTCGTCGGGAAAAAAATCTGAAATGTAGTTAGGTTTTTTTCCTCCGGACACTTGGCCAGTGGCGGTTCTACGGTGGGGTTGGCGGTTCTACGGTGGGGTCGGGGGGGGGGGGCTTTAGAGAAAATAACCGGTCTACATTCCAGCACGCCTACCTTAAAAAAAAAATGTGGATCCACCGTGATAGCCCCCCCCCCCCAAAAAAAAAAAAAAGATGAAAAAAAAATGGCTCTAGAACCGCGCCTGCACTTGGCCTCCGAAATCAATAGGGGAGGGGCAGGGGAAGGGGGGGGGAGGGGGGGGGGGGGGGCTCGTACCATACTTTCGATTGGGGCGCTGTTCAAATCCGACGATTATTAACACTATATCACATAATAGTGTACTGTTCATATACCCCTAACCAAGCTGGCTCTGTCCGCATTTTTTTGCAATATTTTACTAGTAAAACAAATGGGTGTCAGAGCAAGGGGGGGGGGGGTTCTCATTTAATTGCATAAATTTATATCGAAATTATTTGACAGAGCTTGGGTTGTATTTTTGTTTACCCTCAACCCTCTGGATCCGCGCCTGCGTCATTGCTCCTTTATTCAGCGTCGTTGTCAGGTTGACATGATGTAACCGTGTCCAGAGAACACCAAAACATCTCGGTTCCCTGTGGCCTCTGATGCATTTAACCGTGTAATTATGTCTGAATATAGGCTATCAGCTGGGTCCAAAAATTGGGCCGCCTGTATCAAATGATTGAAAGGGGCAATAAGTCAAAGCGATTTGCACATCTAGAGTTGGACACTGCGTGATAGCTTTGCAGTGTGAGCGGTGGCAGTTTTGTTGGGGTGTAATACGTTTTATTTTTTTTTTCAAAATGGCCGCCAATATGCTTGTTACCTTTTTAAGTATACATGTACATGAACAATGTGGTAACAAGCATGTTTTGGCCGCCATCTTGTGTTTTAACAGCGATAGCAGGCAAATAGCTGCCCCCGCTGCAATTCTATCACATTTCGGACTACAGGGGTGCACAGCTTGCCAAAAATCACAATGAGCATTATTTGATACCGACCAAATCCCCAGGCTGATGACCTAATACACTCTACATGTACACATGCACATATACATGACATTGGGATGGGGACGGCCCGATGTGCCCCCCCCCCCCCCCCCCCACCGGTCTTGAGGAGACCTCCACGATAGTCAGTTGCTATTCTAGGGTTAACTTGAGCTCTTTGCAACCCATGCGTCATCAGCTACTCTTTTGCTTGTTTCGATCCATGATGACAGCAATACAATGTACATGTACAGTCGAATCTCGTTAGTACAAACTCTGTTAATACAAAATTCTGGTTATAACAAACATTTTCAGTCCCGACTGTGCATTTATGTGTACAATGAATGGGACTGATGTTCCTCTTAATAAACAATTCTAACGAGACTCGACTGCACATGTGCATGTGCACGTAAGTCAAACGTTTCCCGATGACAACACAGTGCAAAATGTACATGTATAGAGGACTTCTCAGATTTGGGAGTTCGGGAAGCAAGTTCACTGGTGCGTGTAATAACCAGGATTGTAATAATTATGCTATTATTGAATGTTGACCCCAATTCGGGCGTTCACCTCGACTCGATCAGCATATCCCATTACGTACGACTGTGTTGTGTGCAGGCCCGGATTAGGTGTTTCGTAGGCCCTATGCACTAGTGTTCCCAAGAATGGAGAAGGAAGGGGAAAGGAAGAAGGAATAAGAACACAGTGGAGAATGTAAAAAAAGGCCAATAAAAAAGTCTCCGGTTTCTGGTATACGCGCGCGTCGCCGGAGCTATGCGCGTCGGCAAAATAAAACCTTTTTTTTCAATGAAAGATGATTTGACTGGAATCCTGCTGCTACATGATTTTGACGTGTTTTGAGATGGGGTTACGATCGAGTATAAGCTTAATGTGGCCTCTCTGCAGGGTTCAAAATTAGCGGTAGCCCACTAGCCTTATGCTAGTCAAAACAGCGGCGGGCTAGTCAAACTATTCCTGAAGTAGCCCGGCTGGCGAGTGAAAAATTATTGGGATACGGCAAAGATGAACGTACAGGAAAAAAATAAATCATAAAATTCAGAAAGAAAACCCCATCAATTTGTGTCTGATTTAATCATTTTTTTAAAGGTAACATTATTTGATCTGTTTATTAAAAACACTGACAAAATTGCCTCAGAATTGAGCCTGTAAATACGTCATTTTGTATTTGAGATAATGCGGACCAGTAAAAATGCCCACAGGCTATAGTTAAGAGTCTGTTTTAGTGGCCCTGCTGGCCAGTGAACAAAAAAGTTAAGGTTGAGCCCTGCCTCTATGGACTCCCATATATTTGCATTAAGTTTAGTCGGGCACCATTTGCAGTCCTATCAGCCGACATTTGAAGAAGAAGAAAAAAAAGCCGCGTCGCCCCACCACTTTTTGGGCAAGCTCCATACCAGAAACCGAAGACTTTTTTGGCCTAATAAACACCGCTGCTCAAAACTCCTGGAAGTTAAAATCAGGTTCTGAATCCCATGTCTAAAGACTCTACATTTTGTCATGTCGGCACTGCAGCGCGAAGTCGCTTCGGTTTGACAGCTACAGCCATGTGATATACAAAACTTAAAGGGAATATACATCATTTGCTTTGGTTGTAATTTTCAGAAATGGATGGAATTGGGGCGTTGGAAATATATAGCAAATATAGTTACACTGACTTTTTTGAGGTTTTGGGTTCGAAAATGCTATAAAAACCAAGGAAAACAATCATTTTTCTGTAGTCTGGTTCCCTGACTCCATTTAAGAAGAAACAGAGCAGTTTACATACATTGGGGAATTGTAAGGTCAGGGAACCAGTCTAGCTTGCTTGTACCCGTTCATAGGTGTGTAATCGATTGCAAACAAGTGCCAGCTTGTCAACTGGGGCCAGTATTTGGAAAAAACCCAGTTTTTTTCGGCCGATCAGCGTTGGAAATTGACACAAAAATACCACTTTTTTTTGAAAATGACAGTATACCAGGTGCCATGATTTTACAGGATGCTTTACTCTGTCATTCACTAACAGTCCAGCAAGGTATTTCAAAATGATTTGGTAGTTTTATTTTTTGATGTTTGCAAATGTTGTGTTTTCCCTTTAAATGCTAACTCACAAGTTAGCATTTAAAACTTGTGATACTAACTTGTTTGAGTTTTTCTTTGCCATAATAAGAAGCTACGAAAGGTGTTAAATACATGTATTTAAACAATTTTGTTATTATAACCCCCCCCCCCCCCCGAAGAAAATCTTCCTCAAAACATACACAATGTACAATATGTTAACATATGCAGCGGGGAAAAAACACACCATGACGGGAAGTATCCGTACCAGCAGGGCACTCCAATATTTTTGTTGAGGGCTGAAGATTTTGGGTAAAAGGAACGTTTTCTCTGACTCTCCAGAAGACCAGCATTAAAAAAAATGACTTTACACTGTCCTCGAGACGTAGGAAGCCTGTTATCAAAACTCGTATTAAGAATTTTTTCCTCGTTGGAATGTGCACACATAGGTTGGGACTGGCGAAATATGCTCCTCTAAACCGGAATCTCGTCCTAACAGAGATCGCAATAACGAGAGTCAACATGTACTAAAATTCTCCATCTTTTTTCTCCTCTTCATTTTACACTAGCTTTATTTGTACAGACGGTGGAGTAGCTATGTCTCAAAATTTAACAAGAATAAACTGTCATTACATTTACAAATGTAAATACATGTGTATGATGTAC